TGGGTTATTGTAAGCAAATATATTTTAAATGCTTGAAATTATGAATTAGAATTTTTTTGTAATTTTTTAATGTTAATATGTTGTATTTATAGCCACTAATTTCATTACATTAATTTTCATCACAATATTGTTATAAAATTGAAAATTGAAACACGTAATAAAAATGTATGCTTCATATTTCAAATTAGATTAGATTTGCTGATTTATTTATTTTTTTCTTGCACCAATTTATTATTTATATGTATTTAAATAAGCAAATATAGCCAGCACGATTACACAAATATTTATTTTTACGCAACATTTCACAACATTTTCCGCATAATTAGCATAATTTTGCATAAAATAAGTATATTCATAATTTTCATATTAATGCAAATGCGCGCATTTTTGTTTTGCAACCACAAATTATATTTGAGTATATTTACAATTTGCGGTAAAAAAGTGCATTACGCGTACTTATGTATATATTTATGTATGTGCTATCAACAGCTGTCTATGAAAATTTCGATAAATTAAATTTGCATGGTACTTTGTAAAGGCCGCCATTGCGTATTAGAGAGGGTAGTAAGCTCATGCAGAGATCAATACACAACTGTACATACATATAATCGCTCTTATATTAGTAACAAATATTTTTCATAAGCACACATAGCTTAAAGTATATTAAGAGCTGGCATTTTCATATGAATATAATCCCACCTTTATTTAAGTGAAATAAATTTTTTATTTTAAATTAAATATAGAAGCAAGCAGCAAGCATTTGCCTTAACCACGCTTGAGCTTACAACGACTATTTTATTATCGACTATCGTTGTGCTTAAAAACGCACTTTTGCACGCCCTACTGAGCGTATACGTAACCTTTTTGGCCATATGTAGAAAAAATTAAAGTCACTAATACGCACCGGGGCACTTGTGTTGTGCTTTTGATTAAATTAATTTAATTGGAATCAAAACGTTAGACAATAAAAACCAAAGTTTTTATGCAAAGCTTTTTTTAATGAAACTTGCTTTTCATTTTTTTCCATAGCAAGGCAAATGTCAGACTTGGCAAAAGTTTATAATTTATTGTGAACTATACATATCTATGCATATATTTACACACCAGCCAGTCACACACACTATTGTTACTGCAACTTACAGTTTAAACTTGTTAAAATATTATAATTTCACAAGCAGATTAACAAAACAGCTTTGTGGGGCAAAGGTGCATACAGCAATATGCACAAAACGCATGCACACATGTATAGATAGATAGTATAGATATGTATAATTATATGCACACATACACATACTTGCTTTTATGCAGACAAATGTCCGTACCCTTTGACTTGAGCAAACCACAGCTCGGCACATAATCAGTTAGGTGTAAGATTTTGGCAGCTGGTATATTGCCTACTTTAAGCTTGTTGCTGCTCAAAGCCAATTGAGATGGCTTAACACGCCAAGACTGCCAATTAAGTCTGATAATTATAGTATCGGTAGAAAACTTGTAATTAATTGATATTCAATGAAAACGAGGGGAAATTGCAAGGAATCACATATAGATCGTTAAAATAGGAAAATAATATTTAGAGGTCGTGGAGAAATGCCTGGTTATCCAGAGCATTCGTATAATGGAGATAGGCTTTAATCATTAATTAAATTAAGAAAAAAATTTATGAGATTACTAATAGCATGATTTTATCGAAATTTTGTGGTTACCCAACTGTTAGGTTACGGCGGATAAGCGTTTTTTTATTTAAGCGTTAATAAAAGCACTCAATTAGTAATTTTATTTCCAAATTTTTATCATTTGATAACGTGGATAAGCTATTTTTAATAAAGCTTGAAATAAACTACTTAGCTATTGAGTCTTATACAAAATTTGTAGTTATACGAACTGTTCGGATAACACGGATAAGCTATATTTCAAAAACGATTAATCTTATTTAAATATTTGGATAAAGCGGATAATATTGCTCTAACTTAAATAAAATATACACATATTTAATTGTAATTATTTCCCTCGCTCGATTAAAAATGTTATCCGGATAAGTAATTCCCGATTTTTCTATACCATCTTAACCGACTGTTCGGATAGGGCGGATAACGTTCTACCTTAAAATTTATTAAATTGTCTTAATTATTTCCAGCGCTCGCATCTTACTGTTATCCATATAAGTAATTTGTATTTTTCTATTCTAAAACAAATTTAAAGCGTTTTTTAAGCTTATCCGAGTTAACCGAAATTTGCGGATAAGGAATTTTTTAAAAATTTTCGTTTTGAATTTTTTTATACATACATTTATATAAATACTTTGTATAATCAATTGGCTAGCTCACATCAAAGTTTTATCCGGATAAGTAATTTTAATATTTTATATATTAATTCATCATGTTTAAAGGGTTATCGGAGTTATACGAAATTAACGGATAAGGCGATTTTTTAATAGTTTAGTTTTTTAAATAGTCAGTTATATATTTGACACACAGTTTTTTAGAGCACGTTTAAAGTTTATCCGAGTTATCCGACGAGCAGATAAGACAACATTTTTGTAGTACTTTTTTTAAAATAGGTAAATTACATATCCCATTTTGACATTCAAAAAATGCATTTCAGTTTATCCGAGTTATCCTATGAGCAGATGTGACAATATTTTAGTGGATTTCATATTATTATTAATTTTTTCACATTTGCATTTAAAAAATATTCCGATGATATTGAAATAGTTGTTATGTTTAGATTAGTTACGCACAATTACGTTATCCAGTTCGTGGAAACTAATTTAAACACCAATATTATTTCTTAGACCATAAAACCAAAAACGCATTTACATACGTACATACACACATACATGCCATATCTAAAATGTATATACATATACACCTTACACTAAGTTCTCATAAATAACACACATGTTATGTATGTATGTATATAAATATATGACCGATATTCTACTAACTACCCTCACATTAAAACCGTTTCAAATAGCTAACACTATTACGCATCTCTTCGTCTCCTCTATTGCTTTCACCTCTTCCTTTCTAACTGTTGCTCTTCCTCCGCATTTCCCACAGATCGGGTCACCACACACTCGGCCGTCTACCCTCGCACCATCAGCAGAGCTCATCGGGCTATCTGAGCGGTCCCAATAACGGCAAATATGCAACACTCAGCAAACAGTGTAAGACTCTCGAATCTAGCGATTTTTACTGAGAATCGCTTGCCTGCAACACAAATGCAGGCATTAGCAACACCAACAACGCCAATATTCTCGGCAGCAACAACATCAGCAACCACATCAAACATCAACAACAGCAGACGAACTCATTGAAAAATATCTTCGCTTCGGCCACGTTACCACGTTCGGCTGGCTCCTCCATACGCTCCGTACTCTCCGCACAAGCTGTACATCGTTCCACCGGTAATGGTTTGGATCGTGACGATGATCGTGATCCACGCGATGTCACTAATAACAGTTTCAATCGTTTCGATCCGAAGTATATTAGTATTGGACCGAAGGCGGTGCGCGGCAATAACAATTTGAATATTGTCGCCGCCGCCACAGCAAATAAATGTGCCACGCTGCGGCATGTAGGCCGCTACGGTGGCTCATTGAAGGGCGCCAGCCCCTCGCCGAATCTACGCAGCGCCAAGACACCCTCCATTGCGACCGTATCGAAGGATTACTGCCAACAACCGGACTGCATACCGCAAGTTTATACAACCGAAGTGATTGTACCACATCAGACGCAACAACCGCAGCCGCCACCACCACCCGCACCGCTGCCACCGCCAAAACCGCGTACCACCAACACATTCACCGAGATACCGGGCACTACGGGCGTGGGCAGCTCCTATGCCAAAGAGCAGCAACAAATGCTGATGCAGCAGCAACAATTACAGCAATTCCAACAACAACAACAGCAGCAACAACAACACCAACTGCAGCTACAGCAGCAGCAGCAACAACAGCAATTGGCCGCACTGCAAGCAGCGCAACAACAACAACAAACACAACTACAACTGCAGCAACAGCAGCCGACGCTGCACCAGCAACTGCACCAACACCACCCGCCCACGACACACATACTGCCACCCACGGCGGTCTACAGCATCGAGACGTCGGGCTATCAGCCGCAGGCGCAGCAACAGCCGCAACAGCAGGCTGCGGCGCAGCCACAACATTTACAACAACACATGGTGGTTGCACAGCAGCAACAACAACCACCACCAACGGCCGCGCCACGTGAGCCACCACGACCACCGCCACAGCGCTCACTGAATCCGGCTTCCATAGTCAACCAACCACTGCCGGAGATACCGCAGCAGGCGCAGCAGTCGAAGATCTCACCACAACCGCTGTGCGCAGCCAACCTCAATCAGTATCGCTCGTTACAACGACCACAGGCACAGAAAATGCAACTGCCCAGCGGCGCCATGCCGGCGCAGCAGCAACAACCACCCTCGTTGCCGCCAAAGAAGAAGTCGTCGCGCGAGATTAGCACTTCTACAGCGGGCGGCACTTTAAACGCCAATCACTTGCAGACTTTGCCACCAAAATCGGCCAGTTTGCGACAACAGCAAAACGCCACAAACGCTTACAGTTACGAGCGCGAACGTGAGCGTGAGCGCGCTGAGCGCCACGAACGCCCTAGACGCGCGGAAACGCTCGATAATGCGCGCACTGCCAGCAGCGGCAGCATGGCTTTCATTGAGCAACAATTCAGCAGCGGCGGCATGAAGAAGCAACACTCTTATGACTCGTATACGCTGCAGCAGCAGCAGGCACAGCGGCATGCGGCTGCAACCACGCCCAACAATAACTACCACGGCGGAATCAGCAGCAAACACCAACAACAACAGCAGCAGCAACAATACTTAATTGAAGCGCAGCAGCAGCAGCTGTACTACCGCTCGCTGAAGCGCGGCGGCTCGCATGCCAACAACGATCTCTACTCGGTAACAGAATTGTAGGAATGTGCCTGCTGCGGCGGCGGCGTGGATGTTGTGCGGCGCACGACAACGTGTGCCACAACAGTTGCGCCACCAGCCGCAGCAGCAGCCGCACAAACGGTCGCACCGCCACCCGTACCATTGCCGCCGAAGAAGCATCGTTCCTCAGCGAGCGTAGGCACCGCAACGATGACGACGCGAGACAGTCAGACCACTGCCAAAGCCACAACGACCGCCGCGACGAGCATGACTTGTGACGAACACGAATACGACGAGTATTGTCCGGAGCAATATGATGCGCATCATCATCACCATCACGGCTCTACACAGACACAGACGCAAACGCAGTGTGAGCGTGACCGAGAACGTGAACGCGATCGGGAGCGTGAACGCGAACGTGATGCGCATCATCGCCACAGCTCATCACGCGCTGGAGCTGCCGCGTCCGCACTGAAACACCAACGTGCCGCCACCTTCGATGTGGCCGATGCGCGCGACTACGAACTGCAACGACTGGGCAATCGACGCTCACAACAGCAACAACAGCTGCAGCAGCAGCTACAACAGGCAACCGGCGGTGGTGGTAACAGCAGCAAATACCGTGGCGTTGAACATCGCGGTGAGCGTACGCACGATCGCGAACGTTCACGTAGCGATCATCGCATTGCCACCTACGCTTGCGACGATACAGCGCTTTGCGGCAGCAGCATTGGCGGTCATCAAAATCATCTGGCCAATGGTGGCGTCACCCAGTCGAGCAGGCAGCAGCGGCGCGAAAAAACGTTCAAAGTATGATTTTTAGAGACGTCATAAAAATTTTCCCCTCCCTCTACGGAAACGTACGGTAAACATGCGACAGCAGCGGCAGCTTACAGTTGGTAAATTGTTGCGGCAATGAATCAGCGTGGCAGTCCGGCGGCCAATCGACGGCAGAGTTGAGCAACCGCAATGTGGGCGTGTACTTGTGCGTTAAGTGGAGGGCAGTGTGGCAGCAGCGCGGCGGATTTATAATAATAATTGTGTGCAACACAGCACAAATTTCCAACACCAAAACAAACAACCAAAAGAAAAAAACAAGTAAATCATCACACCGCTTCAGGCGTGTGAGTTAGTTGTTGTGTTGCCTCTTTTAGTAAACGATTAGCGACAAATTGGCTTCTACCAAATCCTTGAACCCCAAATAAGTGTACGAGTATATGTATTATAATGCTGTAACTAGTTTCATCACTAGTGTTGTTGTTGTGTAGTTTAGCTTAGTTTGTTATCATATTGTAATTGCCGTATGTTTGTATGTGTATGTGCTTATTTAAGAGTTGTTAACGTTCAGAAATGCGCACAAATTTTGTGTAAAATAGTTTTAGAAAGAAAGAAAAAACAACAAACAAACCAAAGCAGCCGAAACGCGTCATACAAAAATGTTTGCTGGCGTAAGCGTGTGTTGCAAATTTAGGTACTTGACAAAATAAATATAAAAATAGATTCCTTACTTTTTTAATGTTTAAAAAAATGTTAAGAATTTTTAACAAATATTTTCGTTTTTTTATTTTTATACTAATAAACAAATATATATGTATCCCTGGTCGACCAGGGCATTGGTTTTAAAAATTTATTAAAGAAATA